TGCGAATCACTCTTTGCTATATGTTACATATTATATACATACATTCCCATCATGCTGTTCAGAAAGAAAAGGAAGAAGTAATAAGCCAAAGAAATTAAATCTTGAGATGGGAAAAGCAAAGGAAATATAGCTAAATGTAATTTAGAACAACGCCACTCCATGCTTCTCCATCCCTTTCTATCCTTGGTTCTGCCACTTCCACAAACGGCTTCCTGTGTTGCCTTCTGCTTGTAGGTTTCTCTTGATCCCCTCACTCTTTCCTCATGTGCTTGTCTCATGAGTTGATTCTCACTCACTCCCTCTACTGGCCCACCTCAATGTGTTTCTTTCCCGCTGGCCATTCGCTTTTGTATTCAATCCACATTCATCCTTGAGCAACCTCTTCCCATTTTATCATAAACACTTCTTAAATAGGCCATTCTCGCTACAGGTAGTCCTCGGGTTATGACCACAGTAGGGACTGGAAAATCCATCATTAAGCGATGTGGTCGTTAAGTGAGGTATCAAACAACTTATGACCTTGTTTTTTGGCACAGTCATTAAGCGAATTGTGACTGGGCTTCCGATTTTGCCTTCTGTTGTTAAGTGAAATCAACAGGTACAGCGTTTATCTGAGGACATCCCCTGCCTCTTTAGCCTTCCCAACCTTTGTACTGTATGTGATATTTAGCAGCAAAATGTTTTGGAAATACTGTAAAATGGATCTACAGTATGTGGTTCTAAGGCAAAAAGATAATTTCATAACATATTTTTGTTAACACTGCTACTTAAACTACTTTGCTAACTTTACTAACTTACATGATAAAACAAAGGGCCTTTAGTTTTTTTTTCCCTAGTACCTGTAGTGATGAGTTGCGATCTAGAATACTGTACCATACCGTAGTTTAAGAATCCTCCCAGGCTTGTCTGCTCCCAGCAACATACAATACTATACAGTGGTTTACAAATAATTGTTTATAGCTTAGTTCCTAAGCAAATCCACCAAACTGGATTCATATAAATACAGATTAGGATAATTTGTGAATTTCAAGATATAATATTAAATGTTGGACTGATCCAAGGATTAAAGAGCTTAAATACAACTGCATTTCTGCTGATTTTAAAATATGATCCTTATTTTAACATTTATCCAATTACACAATTTACTCCTGCAGCCTTACTATTTTTCAACACTCTTACAGCATTTATACCTCCGTCTCATCAATTTTCCGTGAAATTCGCAGACCAATCCCATTCTTTCTTATTTCAATGATTTTTTTTTATGGCCTGCAGCTGCCAAGTTTAAGACAACATGACCATCTTTTCACTTGGCTTTTGTGATAACTTGAAAACAGTGTTGCCTGCAGCGATGGAGGTTGCTAAACAGGTTTTATTCCTACAAAGGATGAACACGGACTTTTGTACGCAAGAGGTATGATTATTTGCATGATTTATGACAAAGGCCTTGAGAGTTACTCACCTCTCCAGTTACAATGTATTTCCCATCAGGCGAGAAAGACAGAGCACTCACAGTTTTCCTTAAAAAGAGAAAAAATCCCCATTTTCTTTCTTCATAAAAATGAATACCAGAAGAATACATATGCTATTCTCTGGCTGGCAACGAAATAGCATATGTTCGATATATTGCTCTCCCAGACCTTTTTATCCAATGAATGCAATGATACCTCTTTATACTTCTGACAATTTCCCCACAATTAGCCTTTACAGTAGGGAAAATACAAAAATGCTTCCCGCACCACTTTTTCCCAGTGAATCAATTGATTGTGGAGGAATTAAACATCACAGTTGTTCTATCACTACCAACATGGTGCACCTAATTGGTCAGCCCACCCCCGGAAAAACTCTCAAACTTTCAGAAAGGTTAAGAAAATTAAAAACATGCATTACCTGGCCGCATTAAAGATGTGCCTTTGTTTGTTCTTCTGAGGACTGAAAATCACAACTACGCATCTGAGAAAAAGATCAAAATGTTGACGTGGGGAAAAAATCCCCCAGATTCAAAAGGAAAGAAAAAAGTTTAGGAACGTTCATACACGAAGGCTGATCAGTGTGGCAGCCACGCTCCTGTTGCTTTCAAACACACCAAGTCACACCTTAATGCTGTAAGACTGAACAGCAGGGCAAGAAGAACCTGAAAAACTTTTATATGGAGCATCATAGCTGGATTTGGTCAAACCGCAGTTAAATTATGCTTTGTCTGAACAAACTATCAATAAAGCCAATACAGGGTGGTTTACAATACAGGCCAGTTCAAATGAAATCATAGTGAAAATTAACCGCAGTCCCTGCTTGGGCCCTGAAGAGAACTAGCATTTCTCTGAAAATGGAAAGAACTGCTTCCAAGTGTCTTTTGATGGCTGCCAGAGAAAGTGACAGGGGAGAGAGCATGTAGGCCTGTGGTTTACCAGGCTGGTTCCCATGGGGATAAGTTATGGAATGAAATTAAGGTCGGTGGCAGACAACGTCCTTCCTCTGGGCATCACGGCTGAGATATGGACCTAAGAGTCGCACAGAGAAGGCTCTCTGCTGTGGCACACGCAGGTAAGGAGCCTCTAATAATTTAATTTGGAATGGAATACAAAGCTTATTTTTCTCCACAACAGCCCTGCAAGATATGCTGGGCTGAGAGAGAGTGACTGAGCAGGGAGTTTCTGAGCCTGAGGAGGGAGCAAAGATCCCTTCAGTCCAATGCTGCCATCTCGTGGGACCCAGGAAGCGTGCCCTCTCTCGCGGCCCCCGCCCTCGGGAACAGCATTCCCCCTCCCCCGATAGGGACGGCGCCCGTTCTCCTGGGGTCCTGGAAGGCCCCTAGACCTGGCTCTGTTCCCAGGCCTGGGGCTAATGCGGTTGCTCTCCCCCGGTGGGGCCCCTGACATGTTTTCCTCCTGTTTGTTGTTCCAGTTGTTTTAGTCCAGGCTGCCTGGTTTTTAATTGTTTTACTGCTCTTCGGATTTCATAAGCCGTCCGGTCTTCTGGAGCGGGCAGCCCTACCAACTCTAATAAATTAACTTAAATTAACACCTGCATCTCCCCCTTGTCAGTCCAACCTCTTGACCACTATACCACCCCAACTCTCGTAAAGATTTCATCGTCACCACAGAATTTGGTATAAACTTTGGTTTAAGGGTCTATGACAGGGTTCCTCAACGTCAGCAACTTTAAGACGGGTGGACTTCAACTCAAAGCATAGCTGGCTGGGGAATTCTGGGAGTTGAAGTCCA